CTATAAAAAAGAATATATATGTTAGAAATATTTGATCGGTAAATACTTACTTTTTTGTCAGCAACTGTTAAGATTTTTAATATGTTTTTTGTTGTATTTTCTAAATATGTATTACCATATGAGACACCTATGGCTAGAATTTCGATATCATGAGTTTTAGCCTCGTACATGAGAGCCAGCATTAATGCTAGAGCGTCATCTCCTCCGGGATCTGTATCTATCAGAATTTTACGTGGAGCTTTTCGACTGTTTTACAAAAAATACTTTTATTACTTTACAAATTATATATTTACAATTATATATTTCGATATTATTTTATTATATCAAAAGTATTTGCATTCAAATATTTTGACTATTTAAATTTATAAAATGATAAGATAGAAAACTTTTCTCACACTCATTATTTTCATCCGCATGAATAAATAAAGATTAATAAGGGCTAAGAATAAAAGAATGTAAAATTAATATTTAATAATATTTATGATATGACGTTTTAATAATCGACCCAACTAGGTCATTTTCAATGTTCTAAAATCTAAACGATTCAAACGAAATTTTGTAAAAATACATGCTACTTAAAAACTGAATTTGTCTTCTTACAAAACATTAAAGTAATATATAAATAATATATAAATAATCCTGCTATTTTCTCTTTAAACATATTACAGAAATATTTAGTCGGTATAATATACGTTCTTTAAATTGCAGGTCCAAAAGTATAATTATCATTATTGTCGATACGTTAATACAATTATACTTTTGGACTTGCGATTTGAAGAAGCAAGCGCTTTTTTATATATTCATATTGGTTTTCTCATACTATTTATGCTTTAGATTATAAAAATAATCAAATAAATATTTAATTATTATAATAATATAGAAATTAAGTAGCTATTAATTAAAAATTATTCAAATTAAAGGGCAAATAAAATATAAGTTCACTATCAAGAGATTCTGCGTTTGTGATGTATGCCCTCTAATTTGAATAATATATTTAATTATTACCTGATGACAAAACAAAGTAGACATAGCGTTAATATAATTCCAAAGATATTAATCATAACCATTTTTCTTAATTATTTAACAAGGTCTGTAATTATAATATATAAAATTAGTATATTATAAAGCTGTTGGAACAGTTTTTTTTAAATATCATTGATATGACAGTATATAATGTTTGTTTTACAGGGGGTGTGGCACATTCCAGTCAATGAAATTGACAGACCTGGAAGCTTTGCTTCACATATGTCGAAGTGTGTGACGTTACTCATGCAAGTATTAAAAGAGAGTAACGACAGTAAAATGTTAATGCAATTGTGCATACAGCTCGGAAAGATTCCAGATTCAGACAAGTAAAATTAATTAAGAATATTTATAAAGTAAAACTTAGAACGTCATCATTCATTCTTCTGTTAATAATATTACAACAAGACAAGAATTGTCTGCGATAAGAGAAGATGGACAATATAAATAATATAATACATAACTTTTTTTATATAATATAATTTTAATACAATCTTTTTCTGCATCTAGGAAATACTTGCGTGATTCTGAGAGAGAACAATTATCCCGACAAGCTCTGACACTTTGTCAACAGTCGCTCAGAAGCAGAGTTCAGACAATGGGCTCGACAAGTTTAATCGACAGTGTACACCATATTAGAACAGATACTAGAACACAAGTACTACTTGACGTATACGAAACATATCAACTTGTCCAGAAACATTTTCAGGGTAAAGAGTCGACTATACAAATGTTTGCAACATTGTTAACAGATACATATAAAATGTACATAGGAAATAAAGTAAGTAAATCTTACAGAAAAATACACTATATTTGTACCAATATTCACAGGCAAAATTAGTGCCGAATGTACTTTGCACATAGTAAAACATAAATTTATATAACATCTTATCTCTTATCTTTTAATTTTTATTTATTAATTGTTTATTTTTCTTATCATATACTTACGCAACTGTTTCGTCATTGACAATGACACGCAATTAATATCCAATTAAACATTTATGGAATAAAACGTTTATTAAAAAATAACATTATTGCTGTAAATTATAGAAGGCTATATATGAATATTTACGTTGTTAGAAAAAAAGCTCCTCTTTTCAAGGAGCCAACTAATTATGAACTATTAAATATATAAATTATCATTTTTTACCAGTATTGCAATATTCATGCGATATCATAGAATATTACTTTACATCTTTTTCAGTTTCAAATACCATTCGTTATAAACTATCATTTCTTGTTGTATTTAACAATTACTGGATAAAAATCATGACAATTTCAATAATTGCGCTTTTATATTGCTTTCTAGAACTTGGAAGGAAATGTTTTGGAGATTGCTATTAAGTGTTGCCAACGTCAGATACAAGCAAACAAACTCGCATCTATTAATAATAGTAATAGCTCTCACGTGCCACCTCAAGTTGTCTCTACTATTTCGGTAAATAAATCATCTTATTATTGCAGTTGTCAACATGTAATTTAATTATTATCAAATTAATATCTCGTTGCAGGCACCCATACCACAAGTGTCGATAAACTCAACATCCCCGCAAACATTGCAGAATCGCAAACCGCACAGAAATTTGACATCTACCGGACGTCCAAGGGGACGTCCACCAAATGTTAATAAATACTTGCAACATGCTCTGCAACAAAGTGGCAACGTGATGAATCAGTTCAGTTCCAAGAGTAACTTTGCGAATTACATGGGTGCGTCCGGACCAAATCGTTCTCTGATAAATCCTTACTTCATGAGTCCATTAGTTGATGCAAACATGTTATCGGCTTTACTAGCCAGCGGACTAAACAGCAATATGATGGATCCTCTAGCGGCTATGACCTATTTAAATCAAGTAGGAAGTTATCAAGATATCCTCAGGCAATATCAAAACAACTTATCGTCATTGACCAATCTTGCTAGCGGTTTAAACAATCCTGGTACCACTATAACCAGCATGAGCAATGTTTCGACAATGAGTACATCCAGCTCTAGTATCAATACTTCAAGTAACATTGCCAATTTAAATAGTCTAAAAGGTTCCTTAGATCCTATGACAGCGTCAGTGCAACAATTACTGAGTTTAAGTAATTCTACAGCATCAACTTCGCGACCGGCACCCATGTACCATCAAGCGACGGCCAAGACTAACACAACTATGTCACTAACGAAGGACCGACCTAATATATCTATAACACCAGTTAGCACCTCGATGAGTCAGCAGCCTCATCACAAAACATCGAAGCCGCCCAGCAAGCAACCGACCTCACAGACTGAGCCAGTGTTACCCGTCCACATTCCTAAATCGCTTCAGATATCACCAACGAAACCAGTATTACACTCGTCGAATACGACGGCGCAAGTATCCTTGCTCAAGCCATCCATTATTCAACAGGTGAAGAGCAGTCCGCCTAAACAGATGACCGCGCCGCAGATACGAGTCTCAAAATCCTTAACTGAGCCGCAACCTGCGCACAATCCATCGTTGTCACATTCGCCTTTGAAGAACAGCGGTAGTACCGTGACCACGAATCCGACCGCGACCATGTCACATGTCCCCCACACGTCCATGGGTGCGCCGGTGATCATGAAGCAACAGCAAGCATTACCCATGAACTTACCGAACGTATCACGTTCTGGTACGTCGTTACAGCATAAATTATTGTCGAAAAAGAATTCGCGACCTTACTCAACGCAAACGAACGTTCAGAATCATCCTGTGAGGAAGGCAAAGACAGCCAAGACGGCGGCGATGTCAGTGCCGATGTCTGGCAATTTTCCAAACCTATTAAATGCAATGCCGTCAACAAATTCTGTCACGATGTCACAACCGCCTTTTATACCTCCAGAATTAAGTGGCATTTCGGTGAGTGCTGTCAGTTCACAATCTGTTGGTATTAAGACCGCGGCTGCGGCTGCGGCTGCTAAGTATCATAGCTACAAGAAATCCATCAGCAAGCCGAAATCAACTGCGACGCCAGCGATAGAGGTGCCAAGCTCGTTACCGGCTTCATTTTCTTCCGGCAGCTCAGTCGAGGCACTCTCGATGCTGTCGCAATTACAACAGCACTCTCATCTGGAAATAATACCGCAGCAGAAGGCGCCGCTAAAGTCAAACATTGATTATAAAACTCTTTCATCTTCCGTGAATGTGGTGCCATCGAAAGTTCCAGAGACCTTAAGATCGTCGACAACCGCCGACTGTATATCTATGTATGATCTATCTAGAGGGAAAACTACTAACGTTTCAAACAAAAAGACACAAGATAAGCTCCTTACTGATAACGTCGAAATTATAACATTAGACGATTAAAAATCGCTCAAACAAGTCATGGACGTTTGTTGCGATTATTTTGCGTAATAACTTTTCAAGGAATACTTGCAGTTATCTACTCGATAATGTTAATTCCTTGCAATGGAATGACAAACTATATTCGCGCAATAGCGATGTTGTTTTAGCGGAAAATTTTACAAAGTTATTTTAACTTTGGAATAATTTCGGAAAATTTTTCGTTAATTGAGTTATCTTTATATGCATTTCATATAAACTCGACTTCCAATTATTAAATTATATAAAAATGCATAAACCAAATGTATGTAAAGTTGTTTGAATTCCAATATCACTGAATTGAATAAGTGAGAAAAAGCTGATTTATATAATATATATGAAATTTGTTTTTCTTTAAAATTTTTATATTAGCAGGAAATTATAAAATTATTTGTGACATGTATATTATCTTTTGTATATATAAGTATTATGTTATTCTTTATTGTAAAACTTTTTGGTTCCAATATGAACGAAAGATTATTCTGTAACGCTTTAATTAATCATATTTAAGTATACTTAATTTTTTTATTAGAAAATAGTGTATAAATATTCTAAGACACATAAATTTACATATTAAAGTCGATTATTCTTTTTTATAATTTTCTCATATAATTCTAATTTTTCATTACTTGAGAATCAATCACGTAACTTTTTCCTTGAAAGGGCAGAATGTGAAAAATGAAAATTTTTTATGTGTATATAGATACATAAAAATTTTCGCTTTCATATTTTCGCTCTAAAGAAACATTTATACAATCGATATCCTGGTTAAGGGCCTCAGCACAAAGATGATCCTAACCAGATGATCGTGACTAATTGTCAGTTACGGTCATTTTTATGCTTAGACCCTAATTCGTGATTTAGACTTAACCTCACTAAACTTGATGATAATGTAAAAATTGTTTTTTCTTGTTATGATCACTAAACTAATGGTTTTGTAATAACAACTTTAAAAGTCATTTACTACAAAACCATCAATTAACCATAGATGACAAAATATAATTTTTTTGCATTATCATCAGGTTAAGGTTAACCATAAGTTAACCAGTAAAGGAAAACTGGGTCTTGGAGGAATATACAATGAAACTTCAGTCTATATACTTTGTAATGTTAATAATCATAAGATATTAAATTTAAAGGTAAATAATTCGAAAACTTTATATTATTTAATTATGAAGTTTCAGTTATATATATATATACCTCTCACTAATTAAAAATATTAATTTATATTATTATGTTCACCGATAAACGCATTGCTTTTTCACTAATTCTATTAAAGCATTTCTGCATAAGGAAATATTATTTAAAGGTAAATAATTCGAAAACTTTATATTATTTAATTATGAAGTTTCAGTTATATATATATCTCTTACTAATTAAAAATATTAATTTATATTATTATGTTTATCGATAAACGCATTGCTTTTTCACTAATTCTACTCTAAAGCATTTCTGCATAAGGAAATATTATTTTTCTACCGTATGTACTTGATAATGACGACACTTTTTTCTACATGTACAATAATCTTATGTAATTAGCTTCAGTAAACTTGAACGTTTTATAAATATAATTTGTGTGTGTATAACTTACCTCTGATATTAAGAGGATATTTGAAATTACCGTCTTATCTATTGTCCGCTGTTATTCATTGCTATTTTCGTTTCACTATTTGCAAATTTTTTTTCTTTTTTATGTTTTATATACCTGAAAAAAAGTATGTGACGATAAGGTAATAAGGTTCTCATGATAACGCAACTGTCATATTTAAATATTTATTGTTTAATTTGTCTTATTTTACTAATGAAAAAATAATACTTTTCAGAGGCAGTGTTTAAAATTTTTTATTCATTAGTACCAAATTTAGCTATACATAAATTTTTGTAAGTGTTTTTAAATAGCGATTTCTTGATTAACAGCCTTTATAATTTTTATTTTTTAATGCTTCGCTAATTTAAACATATTATCTGGAATTCCACGCACTTCTAGGCCTTTTATTGCAAATATAGCACCAATTTGAGAATCCAGGTTTTGCTCTTTATCTAAAATGTAACCAGCTGTGGTCACGTACAAAGTATCTAGAAGCGGACCACCGAACGTGACACTGATTACGTTTTTAACTGGAAACTCGACTTTACATAATACAGTTCCTGTCCTCGGTCTCACGCCAATTACCTAGTCAATCATTTTCATGGATTACAAGACTCCAGTAATTTTCACGAATCTTTTTAACTGATATTTATATATATATTAGGTTGAGTAAAAAGTCATCGCGTATTTTTTAGCTCAAAGTTGTATATACAATATGTTCGTCAATAATGAATAAAATTCAAATTTAAAAAAAGGGTTTTAAAGCTTATCACATTTTTTAAGTTTATATGAGTTTGATAATTTTTACATACCAAAAACTACGAGCTGAAAAAGACGAAAAATTTTCTTCTCACTTTGTGGATTTGTAACGTGTCCAAAACGAATTTGAGAAAATTTTCGATTACCTATCGTGAAAGCTTGATACTTTCCCTACAAAATCGTTTTTTTTAA